CCCCAATGACCTTCAACTCACCTGAGTCTCATTATATCATCATTATAATATGATGCATATGCCTAGAAGTTCATTAATATCATTATAACAGACTGAATTCTGGGAACAAACATGCGCAGAAGGCAAAATGATGACTCACTGAGTCCTGTCAATCTTAGTTGTCAATCAAGGAAGCCCACTCCTCTAAGAAAAGTAATCACCCACAGCTAAAAGGGATAAAAACTCTGAAGTCTTTGTTACCAGACCTTTTTGAGCCACGCTTCTCTTGTTCAAGGTTCGCTTCCACGTCTGGAAGTGTACTTTCCTTTCTAATAAAACTTTTCTTTCCTACTGTATTTCGGTCTCTTGCTCAATTCTTTGTTCGAGACATCAAGAACTTGTTCAACGCGCCAGGAGAGGATCCCACTCTCTGGTAACATAAATATAACTAAGGAGCATAGAGTGGGATAGAGGAGTCCCTGGCAGGTCATGCTAGAGAGGCCCCTTCCACCATTACCATTCCGGTAAACAATGTAGCATCTGTTTGTCTGGGGTCCAAATGAATAAGGAAGCTCTGTTAAGACTGATCAGGTGATTCTTCCTGGGTCTCATTAGATGGAAGGATAAGAAAAGGGAGGAAACTATACTGACCACCAGCAAGTGTCTCAGGGTATCTGTTGTTACATCAGACAGGATTGTGATCAGGAGGCAGCCTGACCTGACGCCAGGTTTTCCAAAGCATGTTTGCGGAAGAGTAGTGCTATGTGGTTCATAATTCTAGGAATAATGCAAACAAGGTCCCACCATCAAATAAGTTCAGAAGTAGGATTTCACAGGAACTGCAGAATTCCACAGAGCCTCCAATACGTCCATGTGCATTGCGAATCTCTAAGAAAGAGCCTAGAGCATCCGCCATTTCCCAAACAGCCTAGCAGGGGACCCTTTTGAGGGAAAGCATCTCAAAAACATCTATTGTTCCTAACTGCCTAATGCTGGTCCCAGTGGAGCCTGCGTTTTAGAAGTCAGCAAACCAGAGTCTAAGCTAGTCATTATATCCTCTACACTTCAGTTTTCTCCCAAGGACTAATGTAAGGATGAGGCAAGAGAACTAAAGTGTTAAATCAAGCCACATTCAGAAATTGCAAAATGCCATTAGCTCTGCAGCCAGACCAGGAGGACAAAAAACAAAGGAAGATTTCTGCTGGGCTTGCTAACAACCCATTTCCCCACACCATGAAGGGAAAACAGGAAAACAATCTTTAAGTGGTGCCCTACACAAAATAAAATAGTTCATTCCCTATGGTTAAAACCATGGGGAATCTATGAATTAAAGGCGGCAACTGCCAGCAGGCCTTTGATGCTACATAATCTTACCTTTTCACAGTACATACTCTTATCTTTCCTCACTGTATGTCCATATTGAAGGTAAACAAAGTCTTTAAACTGTAACTCACAGGAACTAAAGAATGATAAATAAATTGAATCCCCCATACACTTGGGGTCTCTCTCACTGTCCTGTCTCTCTCTATTGTCTCTGGCCCTCTAAGTCTCTCAGGCTCTCTCACCCCTTCTCTAATAAACTTCCCCTCTGACTCTAACTTTGGTGTGTGTTGGAATTCTCTCTACACTCTCCACCAAAACACCCTCTTCTCTCAGTGCAGGGCTTGGTCTCTACTCACTCGGGGAATTTGCCCTGTCCTGCGTCAACTAGGAATAATATTACATATCTTACAGACTTGTACTGAGGAATAATGAGGAGCTCGGTGGTGGAAAAATCTAACTTGAACAAAGAGCAATTCTTCTTAGCTGATGAGTGAGGAGGTGCCACGCATAGGTGGGTACCCCCTGTGGTAGAAGCATTGAAATGAAACCAGTGTTTGCTCAAATATTCCTTCCAAATGCGTTGTCTGGGACCTTGCAGACATTAAGTCCCTTGGGTGTCTATAAGTGCTGGGATAACCACAGATCCACAAGAAATGGGCTCTTTTCCCCTGAGAGCGCTAAGATCTGAAAGAACACTATTATATCAGTAATAATAATAACTATAATCATCACTGCTTATTAAAGGACTACTAGTTACCCAGCACAGTGGGTGCTTTATATTGCTATTATTCCACTTAATCTTCACAGCAACCTTCAAGGTGGTATCATCACTCTCATATTACAGGTGAAGAAATTGAGACTCAGAAATTTAAACATTGTACTCCATGACACAGCTGATCAGTGGCAGAACCAAAGACCCACTCTGTTTAATCATTAAAGAACAAAAATGTCTGTCCACTAAAAGTTTAGCTGTGCCTTGATTTCAGGATTCAATCTGATCAATCTATGTAAGCACAAAGTCACTAAAGAGAATTCTTGAACACTGCAGGAAATTCTGTTTCCCCTTCTTACAGATAGATGGAAACTCTGTGGTTTTCTTCAATAACAAGAGGCCAAGGGAGCTAAAGTAAGACTTCTGAACGTGAACTTGTACAGTGGGGTTTGGGGAATACCCCACGAAGGGCCTAGAAGAGTTTCTCAAAGTGTCTCTTTCCCCATTTTTTAGCTCACCCAAGTGACCACAGAGTTTTTTTTCAAATACCACATTCATTTGAAACAGGCCACAATCCTCAGGTTGCAAAGTCATCTGTACATCTTTTTAAGATGATGGCAAGTGATTTGCATCAGCATCTTTGAGAAAAATAATTCCAAGATATTGCAAAGTAATAAAATTATCTCCAAGGAGTATACATTCCCTGTTCCATTACTACACAATATATGTTTATGATGTAGACTTCTGCTTCCCCAAAATACCTAAAAACAAACAAACATATTACCTGTTTCTTTTGCTTGGCCAGTGGAGAGGTTTTTCCTCACTTCAGATGTTTAAAGAGAAACAAAAAGGAGAAAAAACCTTCTCTATGAAAAATGCTGAGGTCTGAAAGAAAAGAAGTAGAATTCCAGCTCTGTCTGAAGCACCTCCCTCTATATACACACACACTACACATCTCACATCTCTGCAGCTCTCTGCAGGGCAAGCTCTGGCTTAAATAAATCAAGAAATAAACACACACCCACACACACAAAGAAATAACTCAAACAGGCCACGGCTACTTTGCCTTTCAGCCTGGAAGGCGAACCCAGAGCCGCAGATACCAGAGAGGCTGAGCTGGCCAGGGAGCCGCAGCTGTCTGCCCCAACCCTGCCCTGTTCTGGACTAGGAGATAAAAGGGATGTGCTCAAGTAATGGGCTGCGATCACATGACTGCTTCCAAGGGGACCAGGCTCCGTACAGGGTGGACCAGGCCTCTGTTTGCATACATAATCTGCATCAGTACAAAGCATAAAAGAGAATTTTGGTAAATAAGGGCAGAAAAGCACTCAATGGCTGACTCTTTAAGTCAACCAAGGATGATTTTTAGGAAATATTACAGTAACCTGGGTATGATTAAGAGAAGGAAGTGGGAACACGAAACGGTCCTCCTTAGGACTTGAAAAAGCGTGGGTTTAAGGGAGCAGCCACTGGGTGCTGAGCTGCAAATTTATTTATGACATTTTTATTCCTCTAGCTATTAGCTGCTTATTGGAGAACCCATCTGTGAAAGGGAGATTCACCTCCCTCCATCAGCAGAAAGGAAAAGGAAAGTTGGCCCGTAATTCTGCTGAGTTTGAGAAGGAAGAGGAAGAAGACACATTTGAAAATTCAAAGTGCCGATGTCAGTACTGGATGCCACCAGCCATAGTTCTGCTGTCTTTTGAGGCAATCCAGGGGTGATCTTGTTCCCAGAATCTCACGCTGTCTGCCGCTGCACTGACAGCAATTTTCCTCCCAAACTCTCCCTAGCTGGTTACACAGCAAGGTCTTAGCCTACTGGCCTTAGGCAACAAGAGCTAGGATTTAAAGGACTCCAGCCATAATCATTTCATAACCCCACCCAAACTGCTCTTTAGCCTATTCCTTTCTGCAATTGAGCGCCACAGGAGATCCAGTAAAGTGGTTACCTAGCTTGCTATTTAATCTAATGGAGTCACTTTAAAAATAACTGGAAAGGCAGCTCTGGGCTTCTGCACTCCTATTAGCACATTAAATATTACCAGAGGACCTTATTATACGGCAATGCAACCTTACAGATTTCCATAGCAGGGACTCCAAGACTAAGACCTGATGGGGCTGCCATACATATTGTAAATGATAGCATAATTACCCAGGCTTCCAAAAAAATAGTGGACAATGTCACTATATGGCTGCATTTCCGGCCAAATGCCTATTCAATCCACAGTGATTAAATGATGGCTACGTCTAGATACAGTTGGTCAAATGTCACCTCCTCTGTGTGAAGACTTTCCTGAATCACCAAAGAGGAGTTAGTCACTGTCTTCTGGCACTCAAAGCCATGTGTGTGTCCAATTATAGAACTTCCCAGAGCGCACTGTAATTTGTCCTTTTACATGTGAAATCCATAAGGGGAAGGATTCGTTTCATTCCTCTTGGCATTCCTAGCACCAAATGTATAAGAGGTACTCACCAAATACTTGTTTAATCACAGAAAGAAAGAAAGGAGAGAAAGAACTTATGATTTAGTGGTTATTTAAATGGCCAAATTCTGGACCATGAATTGGATTGGCTATGCCCTTTATGTGATTTGTCTAAAACTTAGAATTTGCTTAAAATGAAGAACTTCACCATATTTTTCCATTGTACAAACAACACTAAAATGCTACTGTGAGCACCACAAAGAGTCCTATAGCCAGCCTCCGACTGTTAAATGAATAAGTATTGATGTATGTGAATAAATCACAATAATAATAATATTTATTAAGCACTTACTATTTTCTAGACACTTGTTAATTTTACATGTGTTAATCTTATTTAATTCACACACCATCCTATGAGGTATATACTATTATTATCCCTATTTACACATTAGGAACTATAACCCAAAGTCAAATAGGAAATGAGTAACCGAACTGGGATTTGAACTCGGGCACTTGCCTTTAGAATCCCTACTTATAATCATTATACTATACTGCCTCAGCACCTTGTATGTTTGCAAAATGAAGGTTCCAACCTCTATTCAGATATTCTCTGGCTTTCTTCCAGCTGAGCAGAGATGTGTTCTCCTCTCCTGAAAACAATAATAATAGTAATGAGTAAAGCAATGTTAACAGTTCCAAACTCACTCATTAACAGATTACACCCCTAATAGTCAAGGTGAGTCAATTTATCTCTCAATGGGCACATCATCATAAGAAAATAGCCAATAAGAAAGATGAGAGCTCAATTACCCCCTCCCAGAAGAAGCCATAGCAATATCAAAACATCCTTAACTAAGATGCCTTTTGCTCTTCCATTCAATACATTTTTATTAAGTGGCAGGCACTGTGCTAAGGGACAGGGACATAAATGGTGAAGAAAATGGACATGGTTAGGTGAAGCGAACACATAGGTAAATCAGATATTGAAATAAAAAGGCAAATTAAAATCTGTCTCCCTTATTGGAACATAATAAGCTCCAGGTACCTAAAACAGCGCCAGGCACATAATATTTATTACATGAATAAGTGAAAGCAGTACCGTATGATATAATCTCTAACAGGACAGATAGGGGGCACCAAAAAAAGCCCCATCCCAGAAAGGGGGATGAGGGAAGGCTCTCTAGAAGAAGCGATGCCCGGGCTCCGGCCTGGCCATTGAGCAGCCAGAGTTAGGAGTTAGCCAGAGGAAAAGAGGTGAGGGAGAGAAGAGGGTATTCTTACACACATGTATATCTTACAGAACTTAACAAAGACGTGAAATGGGAGAGATGAAGATCAGAATGAACTGTGGTCATAATTATAATGCTGCAATTAGACTTTCTAATTGGGTAGAGAAAGGCATCTGTCAGCTATAATTGAAAAAGGGCAGCTTCTCTACCTCTGCAGGCAAGACTTACTCTTTCTTGGCTGTGTCTCTTCTTCCCTCACTTCCCCACTCCTCTACTGGGTTTGCCTTCACTTTCTTGCTCTCAAATGCTTGTCTAAGGGTCTGCTTCTGAGGCAACCCAAACCAGGACCTTGGTTAGTCTATATAGTAGCAAACTATAGAAAGATGAGGGATTGAGAAGGCTGGTTACCTCACAAGGGAAGGATTGGGCATTGCAGGCAAACCTGTCCTATTTCACAAGCTTCCTGGAGCTAGCCACAGTTCCATTTTCTACCAAGGAAAAGTAATTCCAATGGGCAGCTCCTGTTATTGGTCATGACACATACTGGGGAATGTGCTAGAATCTAGGCAAAGCAGATAGATTTGGGAGTAGACAGAAAACAACGATGTGTGTAGGTCTGTTTGGCAGTGAGTACTTAAGATGTTTGTCCACTCATAGTACACTCATACCTCAATGCCCAATAGCACCAAAGAGGGGTAGCTTGGACAGGGCTAGCCCTTCAGCTAGCCTTCTGGAGCTGGGGCCAGTGGTAAGCAATCACACCCTATCCCAGCTTCCTAGCACCTGAGAGTCTCTAAATTGAGGTACCTGCCCATAGCAGAAGCACAGAAGATCTGTTGGAGAGTAGAAAGCAAAACATTAGAATTCATTTTTTAATCTATTTTTTAATTTTTTGAATTTTCTATTTTTATGTATATTTGGTAATGTACATAATATGTGAGTTCAACAGTATTAGTAGTGATAAGTATATATACTGTATTAGGGGTTCATGATCAAAAACATTCAAAAACTCTTGATTTAAAGAGCCTGCTCCCTTTCGAAGACAAGGAAGAAATACCAAGCAATTTTACATTTAAATAAAGAAGAAAGGGTCACACTTATTACCAGGGAAGAATTCTGAGTAATGAAAAAACACACTAAGTAGGAGAAAAGAGAGGCCAGATTTGGCAAGTTATTAAAATAAATCAAAGCTGGGTTATGAGTCACTCTTAGGTAGAAGAAATTCATAAAAGCCAATGCTCACAAGGTGTGTCTGTTCACAAGGGGTCACCTGGTCAGCAGCCACAATGACAGGCTGAAACAGCTGTCATGTGTTGAATTTTCTAAGTTCAGCTTTGAAAAGGCTCCATCTTGGATACAAAAATTGGGCTTTCCAGGGTTGTAATTTAACAAATAGAAGATTAGTATGTATCGGAATTTAAATTTTGACCACTGCTTAACCCTAGCTTGGTCCTAGATGGCTTGAGTTTTTTTTTTAATCTCCTTAAATTAACTCTGAATGTTTATAAATCAAATCAAAAAGCTTCATAGAGGGTTCCAGTCTGGGTAAGATGGAACAAGTACACTCTACTCACTCTTCCATGTCTCTCCCATAGAAAAAAACGTTATAACACTTGGACAGAATCCATGGAGTGGCTGTTTGAGGACTGTGGCAGGCCAACTCCAAGATGGCACCCAATGATCCCCTCTTCTTGGTATCCATGCCCTTGTGAAATCCTTCCCCTTCCATGTGAGCTAGACCTAACCACCTGTTTCTAATCAGAAGAATATGGCAAAGGTGCTGGGATGTCACTTCTGCGACTAGGTTATAAAATATTGTGACTTTCTGTCTTGCTAGCACTCTATTGCCTTTGCTACTTAAGTGCTTTTGATGAAATAAGTTGCCATGTTGGAGAGGCCCACATGGCACAGGACTGGAGAAAGTCTCTGGCCAAAAGCCAGCAAGGAACTGAGGCCCTCAGTCAAACAGACCCCAAGGAACTGAATCCTGCCAACATGCCTGCCGCATAAGCTTGTAAGCAGATTCTTCCCCAGTTAAGCCTTAAGATGACTGCAGCCCAGCCAACACCATGACGGGTGCAGCTTGTGAGAGATCCTAAAATAGCAGACCCATGTAAGCCACGCCCAGATTCCTGAGCCACAGAAGCTATGAGATCATAACTTTCTGTTTTAAGTCTCTAAGTTTATGGGTAATTTGTTACACAGCCATAAATAAGTAACACAAGGACTCTGAAAAGTAAATAGCAGAAGCGGGGTTGAGAAGATCGGAGATTAAAGTACCACCAAAACTGGTGGTGAGTTGACTATTTTTTTCCCTCCAGTTCCTCCAAACTGGATTTGAGGAAGCAGAAATTCAAATTAAACCCACAATGAGAATAATACTACACACCTATTAGAATGGTTAAAAAGAATACCAATAATACTCAGTGCAGGCTACAATGTAGAGCAACTAGAACTCTCACATTTTTCTGGTGGGAATGCAAAATGATACAGCCACTCTGCAAAATAGTTTGGTAGTTTCTTATAAAGTTGATGATACACTTACCATGTGACACAGCGATCCTACTCCTGGGTATTTACTCTAGAAAAATGAAACCTTATATTCACACAAAAACCTGTATAAACAGGTTCATATAGTCAAATACTAAAAATAGCCAGATGTCTTTCAATGGGTGAATAAATATACAAACTGTGGGACACCCATCCAATGGAATGCTACTGAGCATTAAAAAGGAACAAACTATTGATGCAGACAACTTGGATGAATCTCAGAGGATTATGCTGAGTGAAAGAAGCCAGACTTAAAAGGTTGTGTATATTTATATGAGATTTTCAAAAAGGAAAAACTGTAGTGATGGAAAACTGACCAGTAGTTGCCAGGGATGATGGGTGGGGGAGGATGTGACTATAAAGGGATAGCTGAGGGAGTTTTGGGGGGTGATATTTTGTATCTTAATTATGGTAGCGGTTGCACTCATCTACCCATGTGTCCAAATTCACAGAAGTGTACAAGTCAATTTTACCGCACATTAATTTAAAAATAAATTTTTAAAAAGCTTCACAGAGCTGGCTCTGGTTTACTGCCTTTGGGTCTGCAGATTTTAAAGTCTCCATGGGCTAACTTTGACTGCCAAGGGCCGTCCTAAATCACAGCTAGAAGCAATGACATCTGCTGTAAATGACAAGCACTAAGGAAAACACTTGCCTTTCCTTTACTTTTAGCTCTTGATCCATGGGTAAAACTCAAAGAACAGAGCTCCCAGGCAGAAAACACACCCCATCCATTCTTTACTCAACAGATACTGAGTGTGTTCCATCTATCAGGCAGGGGTACAAAGATGAATGAGCTCTGATTCATTTCCTTGTCAGGTGCATAGTGTAATGCGGGCTATGGGCCTGTCCACAAATAATTTCAAAACAGGAGGTGTAGGTCCAGAGTTATCTGCCCCATAGTATTATTGGAGTCCAGAAGTAGATCAGCTGGACCAAGGCAAGTCAGGAAATGTTTCATAGAGGATAAAAGGTGGGAAAGGCATCCCAGAGAACATTGGAATATGTTATATTTGAATAGTGTTTCCTGAGACTGGGGGATAGAGGGTGTATAGAGCAGAGGATGGGGAAGTGAACCTGGGGAGGTAGGTTGGTGCCAACTATGATCATTCTTGTACGTCATAACAAAAAATTCCAACTTCGACCCATCAGTTGGGGATTGCAATTTCAAATGCTTACATGAGCCAGGGCAGATAATATAAATGAATAAATCAGCCTGGGTGGAAAAACGATGGGACATTTATAGAGTTTTTATCTAACTGAGGCAGCTGCTACTTATTGGTAGCTCCCTCTTAGGCTGCCATTCAGAAATTCCAGCCCAGTGTTGCTCAATGTAATTTTTCAAGAGAAGTTGAACATATTTTTATGTAAAATCTCTCTATTTTTAAATGTGAGTATATTTCTGCAAACTTAAGATGCCATCGATTACAAGTTGCATCATTAATTTATGTACCAATAAGAAAGAAGAAACCCAACCATCAAACTATGACATTCCATCAACTTTAAGACACATTCCAATATCAGAGGTGCTGAAATGTGAAAAATATGTGCATCTTAGAATCAATGAAATATAATAATTCTCGTTTTCTCAAAACACTGTGTAAACTCCATGGATTCAGTGTAAGGCTGCCAGACTGCAAACTCTGGGTGAAGGGGAGCCTGAGAGTAATGTGATTGGATTCAAGTTTTAGGAAGATCACCCTTAGAGTTGGATGGTGACAAACTGGGAAAAAATCAGCCATAGGAAAACCAGTGAAGAAGCTCCTGCCACAATCCAGGAGATAGATATAAGTGCAGAATTAAAGCCCGGCAATGGGGGTGGAGAGGAGGGGCAAATGTGAAAGCCTTTTAGGTAATAAACCCCATAGGTCCCACACAGGGCATAGGGAGCAAGAGAGATGGAGGCATTAAGAATGATTCCGAGGCTTCTAGTTTAGAATAATAGGTGGATTCATTACTTACTTAACACTACTTACTGGGTGTCTACCATGTGTCAGGCACTATGCTGGGTGCTGGGTACAACAGCAGACAACAGACACAGTCCCTGCCCTCTTGTAATTTACAGTCTAGTGGGTGATGCTATTAATTGCAGAAGAGTATTAACAGGTACAGGGGTAGGACACAAGAGGGACAAGTGTGTTTACGGTGGAGAAAAATAATGAATTGCAATGTCCCATAGGCAGTAGAAGCCTGCATTTAGGGCACAGGAAATAGATCAGGTCTGCAGATTCTGATTAAAGAGGTCAGCAGGGTACCAATAACAGCTGAAGCAATTAGAGAAGATAAAATATCCAGGGAGAGTTTGTAGAGTAAGAAGGTAATAGGGGCAAAAGCAGAGCCCTGGGGACTAGAGACATTTAAAGGGAATGAGAAGAAGGAAAGAGCAAACAAAGGATCTTAAAAATGAAAAAATCAGGAAAGGAAGAGGCCCAGAAGAGAGAGGTGTCTGTAAACCAAGGGATACAGGTATTATCACATAAGCCAACATACCTTCATCTATAATTACTGTATAGAAATAATTTACCTTGGCAATGTACAATTCAGATTTTCAGAGTTATGTGTGCTTTGTATGAATTCCAAATCTGCTTATCAGGACTGCTTCTTGGTTAGAGAGTTGTGATATTTTTAAATATTGCCACAATCTGTTCCTTTAGCTTCTATGTGCTTATGTTGTGCATGTATCTCAGTTTGACATCTAGCATGAGTCAATGGCAGGGCGATGTAATTCCTTCTTATTTTCCTTCTGCAGAAGCTGTAATACGCCATTCCAAGACAAAAGTAAAAGAAAGAATATACATTTATGCAACTCCTCCTCATATCAAAACACTGGGAATTGGGCAAAACTGATCTAAGCACAGATGGTGCCATCCCCTTAAAAGACCACCATGAGGTTCTTGACCCAGAGCTCCCTCTCAGGTGAACCTATGATGTGGCAAGATATTCTGATCCTGTGGACTTGTTCAGAAAGGCCCTTCATTTTATAGGAAAGAAATCCAGGCCCAGAGATTCATCACTTATTTAACACTACTTACTGGGTGGCACCCTAACGTCAGTTGTACGACTTGGCCGATACTCTTTCCATTACACCAAGGTGACCGAATTCTACACTATAAAGATAGCTCCAATATAATAATATCAAAGT